TGTAAGATCAAATTATTTTATGTTTTCAGAACGTTATTTATTTTCAAAACATGCCGTAAAAATTGTGAACAAAATGTCTTAGAATGTATTTTTTTTACACCTACCTATAGAGTACCGAAGTACTTTAGGTACTTAACTTTATAGATGCTTATTATTTTTACTAACTAYTGCAGTAGGTACCTATATAAATCATATTTATATGTATACTGTATACAAACAATCCCATAATCCCATCAGTTCGCAGGTGTGTTATTGACTTAGGCAACAAAATTATATTTTGTAGGTAGGTAATAGTACTTTTATCTGTGTTGTAAAAATTGGGAATTTCACGGGTGACATAGRTACTGATGACGACCAACTGTAATTTTTAAGTACCTAGTGTAACATTAATATACAGTAATATTATATTTAGATATGATTTTATACCTATTATAATATTATATAAGTAATATTTATAACATAATTATTGTCATAATAAATTATACTACAAGATCATATATTATATAATACATTAAAATATATAAAACGAAATACCTATCCTATTATTATAACTAAACACTAAACCCTAAAGCATTTTATTAATAAAAAATATTACCTATTTATGAAATTACCATATATTTCTGTGTAATTTATAAAAAAATTCGTATAATATTATATGGTGTATCTATTTTAAAGTAGATATCTACACGATTGCATMATACATATAGATAATACCTACCTACTTCGTACTTAAACTTTACTTGGTACCTATTAAATTAACACATAATAATATGTTTGGTATTAGCTAAGTATCTACTATTAGCTATTATTATTTAAATATTTAAGTTATAGCATGCATTATACAAATGACCTACCTTCAGTCGGKGTTTTTAAATAGCCCATCACTGTAATGAAACAACTAATTTAAGAATGAATTGATTGTCAATTTTGATTTCTATATTAAGTTTTGAACATTTTTATTGAAATATAAATTATTAGGTACATATGTATCTATAAAATACATAGACTTAATCACTAATAAAATAACATTGCTTCGGTTTGTTTCAAAATTAAGCAATAAGTACCTATTCTTATTAACTATTAAATAAACCTATGCTTTTTGCGTGAACCTTACAGTRTAGTTACCAATAATAGTTGTACTATAAATTATAATTATAGTCATATTAAAAATTAATCATTCAATTATGTCTTGGTTAATAGTTGATACTTATTTTTCTCACCCCAATACATATARGTTTCTTGTGCCTACATTATTCAATTTCACTTGCAGTGATTAATATTAATATTCCATATTATTATATGTATTTATCGCTCTATATTCACAATTGTTTGACAACATTTTAAAATATTTAATTCAAATTTAATTTATTACATATCATTTGCGTTCAGATTTAATCGCGGCAGATTACATTTTGTCTTGTAATAATGAAATAAAATACWTACGTATTAAACATTGTTAACAAAAAAATCTCGTGAAATAATAATGGGACCACAATATTTTTTTCTACTGGCGATTTTCAATAACAGGTAAACAAGGCCTTGAAAATTTGTTTTTTTTTTTTTAATATAATTGATTTTGAAAATTGAAAGTTATAAACGTATTGTAAATCTAAATCTGTGATACAATATAAAGGGACGATTTTGAAATTGACAACTTTGCTTTAAAAGGGTAATTATWTTAAATGATTTAATTTTCAAACTTTTCACGTCATGCTGTCCAACTCATTAAACATGTTTTGCAAAAAACATATTTATTTCGCTCAAACATCGTACTTTCGTACTATTCACTATAGGAAAAGTCATTGACAATTAGGGATATTTAGTTATTCTTATTCTACAATGGTAAAAAAAATCATAGTAATAGTATCATTGAAAAAAAAAATGTTATTAAACTGAATAGGTTTAACCTAACCTCGGATATATTTAATAAATAAAACCCTCGGTTTTGAAATATTTACAAGCTTTAGGTACCATRATCCTAATAGGATACCTAATAACAAAAGTCCAAAATTATTAAATCATATTCAAAGCTATGGATTGTCAACAAATATTTAAAACAATATCACGCAAATTATATTTCAGTAAAACTGTGATTACCGTGTGTATAAATATTTTATTTTATTGTTTAATATTATAATATATATTTTGTTTTTCATTAGATATTGTAATAATAATAATAATTATAATTTGTATGTTTTCCACAAAGAAAAAATATAATTATTTCTGGTCTAAAAATACAACTCGTAAAGTTTAAACTTTTTGTATGTTAATAATGCATATTATAGTTGTAAGCAAAAACAAAACAAAAAATTGTAATTTTATACTTAATATTTTGTGTGCGTAGAATTTAAAGTAAACAAAAAAAGTAATGTAAGAAAACCATTGACTATTTCACCTATGACCTTTACGCATAGGTACAACATTAATACATTATATTATAACAATAATTAATATCCTAAGATAAGGTGCTTTTTTTGTGTATGACTTATATTATGCCTGTTTAAAATTAATCCATAATAATACAGATACTTGAATGTTTGATTTGTCTTTTATTTTTATTTTGAACCTGAGCTTAAAACCCATTTCWATAAATCCACTCTAATAACCAGCTGAGTAAACCTTGGTTTTTAATTTTTTAACACCCTAACCATGATCAGATTAATTGCAAATAACAAAGTTGGTATTTAACACCAGTTTACACTCAAATAACCAATATTTAATAGGTAGTACAACATAGTCACATGATTGATAAAATTAATTTCAGTTTGAATTTGGGATTTGAAGTTTTCGTTTTTGACCTTAACAGTTTATTTAATTCTAAAATATTTTTAAAACTAAATTTTATGAATTTGATTTCTGTTACAGCGTTAGAAAATTAAAAAACCTAAGTCTCACCTAACTGGTTATTAAGTAATTTTCAAAATCTGGCATGAAACAATGTGGATGTTTAACAATGTATTGTATGATTATTTTTTTTAACATACAAGATGTATAATTTAATATGAACAATCAATTATTTAGTATTGATGATTTAAATCAATACAAAGTACATAGCCGATGATARCCATAAAAATCATAGGTATTCATCACATTGAACTAAATAACATATTAACACTTGGAATAGAGTAGGAGAATATTATAGAAACATTGTGTTACAAAAGGTGTATTCCAGTTAAGTACAGTTTAGTGGTACAAGTTATTAGTAGAATTAAATTATTATTATTATTTTTTTTATTATTAAGAAAAAGACAATCTATACACATAATCTGTACAATAAGTCATTATGATAACAATTAGAATTAATGAACATAACATGATTCACATGATAGGGGAAGTCACCCACTGGTAATACCCCTCACAAAAATATTTAGGTTTTATTATATTATATTATATACTAGGTGTAGCAAGGATGATTGTATAGTTAATGTTGTTGTTGTTGTTTTTTTTCTCAGAGTAGTAGGTCACGATTCCAATTTCTTTTCAATATATGTGGAGGTTGGTCAGGGATAAGATTTGAATTAAATTATTAAAATTTTTTATAGAAACATCTGTCAATAAATTTTGGTCCATTTTTCTGTTTTTAATACAAGTCTTAAAATAAAATCTTATAAATTATAGTAAGTACCAATCTAACTTAAATAATGTATATCTTTATAAATAAATAAATAAATAAAATTATATTATTCAATAATTATTTAGTAGTAGTTGATAATTTACAACAAATGAAGATTAKGAATCCAAAGTTAAAATAATATAAAACAATTTTCAGAACTCTGTGCTTAAAATATACATTTTTATTTCAGTTCTATATTCACTGATTGTAGTGCATCACGGCACCACTGTGGATAATTCTTATCTGGATACATATTTGTCATAAATTCCTGGACGAATTCTGGAAATTTGTTTACCTTGATGCTTTCTCTAATACCTTTCATCAATTGCATTTGATAATTTAGATTATGCACTGATAATAAACTGCAAGAAACAGGTTCTGTACTGACAATTTGATGTATATATGCTCGAGTATATGTCTTACATGTTGAACAGCTACAATTTTTTTCAATTGGTCCAAAATCCATTCTGAACTTTTTTTGTCTTAAACTAATTTGACCACTTGAAATTAACGCACAACCAAATCGAGCTGTTCTTGTAGGAAATACACAGTCAAACATGTCTGCTCCTAAAGCGCAACAAATTACTAAATCTACTGCAAATCCAACTCCCATTACATACTTAGGTTTATCACAAGGTAATAAATTAGTAGATAGAAGAACCATTTTCCAAAAATCTTCTTTTTCTTCTCCACCAACAAGGCCACCWATAGCATAACCATTCACTTTTCTTTCCAAATGTAAATTGGCACTTAAACTTCTTAAATCTTCAATAAGACCTCCTTGGACAATAGGAAATATATTCTGTTCATCAGGTCTTTCATGAGCACCTAAACAACGATCTAACCAACGTGTAGTCCTGTACGTAGCTTCTTCCATTCTTYTGTTGTCTTTTGATGTAGTTGGCACAACATCATCTAACTGCATTATAATATCTGCACCAATTGCATTTTGTATTTGAATAGATTTCTCTGGAGTCAACAAGCTTTGTGTACCGTCATAAGGYGATTCAAAATTAACACCCTCTTCATTAATTTCAGCCATATGTAACAATGACACCATTTGAAAGCCTCCAGAATCAGTAAGTAAAGCACGTTTCCAGCCCATAAAATTATGAAGACCTTTGGCTTTTTTTAGTAATTCAACTCCAGGACGTAATCCCAAGTGATATGTGTTTCCTAGAATAATTTGACAGTTGATATCTTCCAGCTGTTCTGGTAAAACAGATTTAACTGATCCTTTGGTACCGACAGGCATAAACACTGGTGTTTCCACTGTGTAATGTGGTAATTTCATTAAACTAGTACGAGCTTTTGAACTAGTGCAGGAGGCAATCACATCAAATTGCAAAGCTTTTTCCATCTTGCTATGTTTTGGTAAGTTTTGGTTTGAATCTATTTACATAAATTCCTGAAAGAAAAAAGTACAACAAACATTATTAATGATAAATTGATAATGCTAGACGATTTATATATATTTTTATAGTATATAAATCTCATAAACACTATTTACAATGGGCATCCCCATTAAATAAATAATCTAAGACCGTGGGATAGGGATATCACTATATTAATTTTTTTCAAAAYAAAAGTATTCTCAAAAAAAATTCCAAATAATATTTTTTTTTGTTTAATAAAACAGCAAAGCTTGGGTGAGCGAGTTAAAAACAGTCAGTTAAAATATAATATTATAACACATAACAACTAACAAGTGAATATTACTTAAAAAATTAACATTATACAACCCTAAAGAATATAAGTAATAAATTAACAAGAATTWTGCTTAAAATTTTGTGATATCAATATTCAATTGTCTACATAAATATATTTCTAGATCAACAATATTAAATTATTGAAAATGTTTTTTGCTTTTATACAATTTAAGTTTTTAATTGTGTACTATAAGAATGCTCTATGTGATAGGACCATCCAAATTAGTTGCCAACTATAGGTAACTCAAGATACTCCAGATACTCAATTAAGCTTAGATACATTTTGAATGCTCATACATGAACAATTATTGTTTAGCTATAACCATAAACAGTCAAATCTATATATATTAATGGTTTTGTAAAATTAAGGGTTGCATTTTAACAAATGAAAATATCCTAAGATTAATTAAAATTAAACTACAACATATTATTATCCAAACAATATTATTTAAGTATTTAACAATATTTTTAGTATATTTTTTAATTTCCTGTTTTTGCCGTTTATCCAGGATCTGCTTATCAAAATTATAACAACCCTATGGAATCTTGATTCAATAAAAGTACTATTTAGTGGTAGATACTTTTTAATAAGACACCTAAAACCCAATTTACCAAAAATTCTTAATTATTAACATTTAGTTTTAGTTCAAAGAATATTTTATTCTAAACTAGGATATAATTTAAAAATGACTTACATGTGTAATCAAAAGTGTGTTTGGAATACGGTATGAACAGAAAAAAATTTAAATGACACAATAAACATTAAAATGTTTTCATAGAATACAGACTAAAGTATACATGTTTTAAATTATAGTTTGCATTAGAACAAAAAATTGGAAATAAAAAAAAAAATTTAAACGCTTTTGGTTTTATCCAATTTTAATAATTTTACAATATTGAATATAAAATATAAAAATTAACAACAACAATAAGCATTTGCAATAAGACCTCGAGTAAATTGTAAAATACAAAATATTAGTATTTCTTATCATTAAACAACAATATAGATAAGTTATCAGTACATGGCACATGCACCGGCACAGAATACCGGTAACCGAGCATGGAAACCTCGTGCGAAGTAATTCAAGTAACCGGTT